GGTCAGGCTGGGTCAGCCCTGACGCTGCCCGGAGCTGAGCCGCTCCGTTCTCTGAGCCCATAGAGCAGTGCAGCTATGCAGCGAAACCACAGCACGCCTCCCAGCTCCTCTTACTGTAATAATCCAGGGCAGGCACAGCTGGGAGTTGGCAAATGGGTCTTCTGCCAGCCTTTGATCCGCAGCCAGCCCAGCCGGGCACGACCCAGAAAGCCATCACCGTGCAGCAAGTGCTCGGGAGCGCGGGAGGCTGGCGGGTCTCTGGTTATCGGTACCAAAAGCTGCACTGGCACATCTCTTATCAGCCGACGGCAGTGAGGGGCTGGAGCCTGATTTAGCACCAAGCTTCCCCTGGGCTTTAGGGATCTCCTCCATGGTCTGCTCTGTCTGACAGCTGGGGGAAGGGGAGAGGATAGCCCCCCGGCACAGCCGGGCTGTGACCCCAGGAAGCCCAGGGTCGCCCTGTGCTGAGGATGCCGTGGCTAAGGGGCAGGCGGAGATGATGGATGGGATAAGGCGGTTACAGTGGTCCCGACAATAAAGAAAAACACCGTGGCCTTGGGAGATAATGAGCACAAAGGAGAGGATGTTTCTCTGGGCTCACCCGTTGGTTTAGCTGCCGCAGAGACCGCGGGTTCCCTGCCTCCAGGGTCGGGGTTTGGCTCAAACGCCCTGTGCCTATAGCTGCGCTCGGGGCAAGAAGAGGCTGGTTTGTGCCCGCGTACGGGGTCTGGAGCCACAGCACTCCACGTCCCCTTGGTGAGGGAGCAGAACCGCGTCACACGGAGTCAGGCTGAGACCCTCGTGGTCACTGGTGCTGCCAGAGGTCTCCCGGTGCAAGAGCAGGGCAGGGAGTCCTTCCTGGGCCCTCCCACGTGCTATCGCAGCGGGCCTGAGAGCCCAGCAGGGAGGGCTCCTCCATCGTCCTGCCTGACCCTGTCCTCGGACGGGGACGGGGCAGGGGGTGACCAGCGGGTGACGTTCCCTGGGACCAGCCTTGTCCCACTCCGCTTAATCACACCCATGTATTGGACGAACCTTCTCCCTGGCTCTGGCAGGTCCCGGGGGCGTTGGCAGACACGGGAGGGTGGGCAGTGTGCTGCAGCCTGCTGGGGACCCAGCGGTGACAACGGGGCCGCAGGCAGGGACAGGAATTTGGCTGTTAATCCCATTCAGCTGGTGGGAAGTGGCTTGGAAAAAAAAGCCCCCGGGAGAGGAGCCCTGGGGTACCCGAGGGAATGGGGCTGTGCACAGTTCCTGTGGGAGCAGGAGGAGGGCCAGGAGCTCCCCGACACTGCTGGGAGCGGCTCCTGGCAGAGGGGGGTTGTGTCCCGCAGTGACTGGAGCCCTGACCCCAGAGGAAGAGGAGGAGGAAATGGCCGCTGGCGGGAGCCCGGCGGCGTGGCATTGACGCGGGCAGGGCCCTCTGCCGGCTGCCGGTGGCCCAGCAGGTCCTTTCCCCCCGGGACGAGCGGACGTCAGCGGCATTTCCAGCTTTCAGGCACTGGCCCCGCTTCCCCTCTGCCCTGGAAACGGGGTGGAAGGAAGAGACACGCAACTTCCCGGGTCAGTCGGTCCCCTTTGAATGGGACCGTGCCCGTCCCCACGTACGCCCCACCTGTGCCTGGGGCCGCACGTCTGCCCACGCTCCCATCCACCCGGCCAGCACCGGCTCCCCTTGACGGCTTCCCTCCCTCAGTTCCTGGCACACTGCTTCAGTCCACCTGGGTTTGGGTAATGTCTCAGCCTGGGTCTGACAGATCACTCCGGATTTCCAGCCACGCTCCGCTGCTCGGCAGCCCCCATCCAGCAGCAGCCCATCTCCATCCATAAAAAAAAACCGTGCACAGCACCAAAGCCAAGAGCAGCCTTGCCGGCGTAGCCAGCCTTCACCCTCTCCCTAGCTGGATCCTTTGAAGAGAAAAGCAACGCGTTATGATTTCTGGAAGCTCTAAAGCCTGCCTCAGTGCCGGTCTCCCCTGTCTTGATCCCTGGGATCAGGCGCTTGCCGGGGCGGGCGCCTCCTGGCGGTCCCGGTGCAGCAGCTCCCCCTGTCGTGCTGGGGATGCTCACCCGGCAGCCAGCCCCAAAACCTGGCGCTGCACGTCACGGACCGATGCAGGCCCTGCGGGGGTTGTTTCAGGGGTGGTTAACCAAGGGAGAAGAGCTTATTGTCCCTCTCGCACGCCCACAGCTGTGCCGGAGGAGCCATGCTAGCAGCCCCCGGGCTTCTGCTGCGCAGGAGGAGCTACAGCCTGAACAGCAGAGCCCTTCCCGCTGCCCTGCCATGCCCGTGGGGGTCCCGGGCACACTGCCGCCCTCGGCAAGGTGGTTCCTCGCTCCAGCAGTGCCAAAAGGGTGCTCTTAAAAGCCCTTTTCCTGAGCCAGTCTAATGCTGGGTTTAGGCTGTGTCTCAGGACACGGGGCGGGGGGGGGACGTGGGGTGGTGGATGTAGGGTCAGAGTGGCACCCGGGACACAGCTGGGGGCTTCCCTTCCAACTCCTTGGGCCAGGGACCGGCCACCCGTCCATCTGTCTGTCCCAGTGCACCCATCCGCCTGCCCATCCCGGTGCCTGGGGTAAAGCCCAGCAGCACACACCTCGCAGACCTAAAGGTTTGGGGAGAGGCGGAGGAGAGAAGTGTCCAGGCTGGGCTGTGTTTTCATCCAGCCTTTCCTTGGAGAGATGCGTCACCCCAGCCAAAACCCTTTTTTATATAAACTCTCTTGATCTGAAGCCCAGGAAAAACATGCTGGGAGTTATGGGAAGCAAGTCTCCTGTGTTCTCAGCCCTGTCCCCACAGTTTTGGGGTGCAGGGGCTCCAAGAGCTCCTCCGAAAGGCTGGCTGGAAGCTGAGCAACCTGGGCTCCTGAGGCTGGACCACAGTCCTGCCCCGTGCCCTGCAAACCAGCCCAGCCCAGGGCAAGGTCAGCGTAGTGTTCCTCTTTGTAGGGGTGACTCACTGTTCCCTCCAGGTAGGCTCATGGGAGGAGGCTCCATGACGAGCGTTGGGGCACCAAAGGTGATATTTTTCTGCTAAGGCAGAGGCAGGAAAACTGTGTTCCCTTGGGCAGGGGTGGGTAGCAGAGCTGTCCCGGAGATGGGGAGGACGGGGCCGCTGGTGCTTGTCGTGTTGTTCATGGATGGGTTTCTCTTTCACGCACCTCGTCTCCTTAGATCTGCTGAAATCCAACAGCTCTCGCCTGTTGCTGGCCTCAGGGGACGGGATGGATTTCCAAGCCCTCTTAGTGGATGAAGACAGGGCCTGGCTGATGGTGGGAGCAAAAAACCACATCTTCCTGCTCCACCTGGACCATCCCAGCAGGGAGCCCGAGAAGGTCAGTGCTGGGAGGAGGGTGTGAGTGTGACCCTGGCCGGGCTGTCCTCTTCCTCCCCGGGAGCCGCTCCTTGTTCCAGTGCCGGGGCGTGGAATTTCCAAGCCCTCTTAGTGGATGAAGACAGGGCCTGGCTGATGGTGGGAGCAAAAAACCACATCTTCCTGCTCCACCTGGACCATCCCAGCAGGGAGCCCGAGAAGGTCAGTGCTGGGAGGAGGGTGTGAGTGTGACCCTGGCCGGGCTGTCCTCTTCCTCCCCGGGAGCCGCTCCTTGTTCCAGTGCCGGGGCGTGGAGATGGATGTGCTCTGAGCTGGGCTGCTCTAACATCCCCGGTGACACATTTACACCAGGATGTCTCGATCGGTGTGGTCAACCCATCCCTGGCGGTGCTGAGCCCCGCTGGGACAGGCTGATGTCGGGGAGGGACAGGGCAGCTCGGCCAGGAGAGGAGCCCCGGGCGGACGCGGGGCGAGGTCCAGAGCAGTGCCCGGAGCCCTGCTATCACACCTAGTGCCTGCTGCTGCTGCGAGAGCTAAAACAACCCCAGCAGCAAGTCCACTAATGTCATCCCAAGATATCCTGCTGGCGTGGTGCGCAGCTCAGGCCCGACAAAAGGAAAGCCCATTAAGGCCCTGCAGCCTGGCGTTCCCACGGGCCGGGATCCAGGAGAGCCTGCCCACAC